AGAGAGAGAGAGAGAGAGAGGGGGGGGGAGAGAGAGAGATCAACAGGGAGATGGAGGATTTATTTAAAATCCAGCAGGTGAACATTAACGGTTCTAACAAACAGGCTCCGCCTCCTCTTGGGAAGAAAAACTTCAGTTAAATCAAAGCAGATTTAATAAACGAGTTTATCTCGTGTATTTTCAGACAAGATGAAGAACAACGATCACAAAGAACCAGCTGGTTCATAACGGTGGAAACACACAAACTAAGATCCTGAATCCAGATGTTTCTGAATGAGCTGCTGTTCTGTCCATCATCAGTGTTCGAAACACAAACACTGCCTCTTGAGGCTGAAACCATTTTTCTAGTTTTCAGACTTTTCTAATTCTGGTGGTTCAACGTACCAGAGACCCGAAGCCGACGGTCCAGAAGTGTTCGTTGCGAACCTCCAGCACTCCGTCCAGAGTGGACACCTGATTGGACAAAATAACAATCAGCCAATCAGAGCCCGTCCTAAACTTGCTCACTTCCAATAGGACGTAGAATCTGAAGCCTGACTCACTTCTCTCAGCAGTTTGTCCAGTTGACCAATGATGTGCGAAGGCGTCGTCTGTGGAAAACACAAGTTTGATCATGTAATGATGTTCCTGAGTTTAGTTTATTGTCAACATCAGTGAGAGACGTGTGGGTTTCACCTGCAGCAGCACTTTGCCGCTGTAGACGCTCATGGGATACATGGTGCCAAAGGTCATGAGCGCGATGGCGACCGCAGACGCCGTGTCCATTCCGTTATAGTTACTGAAAACACACAGAGAATATGGAGGACGTCAAGCATTTAAACGATAACAGAAAACAGTTCCGAAAAAGACTCGGCTACGTTTCCATCCAACAAGAACCAGTGACTGAATATTAATGAATGAAAATTTTAAAAACTGCTTTGATAATAATCGCTGCTGCTCCAGATTTAGTTTTGACTCAAGAGACAAAGAGCAGACGGGCGGGACGATTCTCTAAACGTGGAACACTGAAAATCTTTTGGCTTGATTTGTGGTCTTTAACGTTCACGAGGGACTTCTCATCTTTTAAAACCTTTATTTCAGTTTTATCTTTGACAAAACATCTGTATCTCGCTGCTGCACTTTTGAAATGTGAATGTGAGGAACCAGTTCTAGATTACGCACCAGAATCGTGTCAGATGAAATTGTAGTTCTTAGTAAATTGTTCCTGTTATGAATCTGTCTCGAGAGACATTCTGTCATTTTCCAGCAATTAAATAAAGTTCAATCTGTGACAGGACGACTCCTCGTCACTGGAGGATTCAAGGCCCCGTTGTGAGACACGTCGAGTCGGTCCAGATAAAGATGAGAACGGTTTGAAGCAGCGAGCGAGTTTCCAGCTGTGAGGGAAATGTGACATCACATACATTTGGGATTTACCAGCAGAGACAGAGGGAAAATGAATCCTCACTTGATTTCTATGAGCATGTAGGTGATGCAGAGGGACAGAGCTCCGGCCATGTTGATGAGGACGAACGGGTTCATACGAGGCAGCAGAACGCTGCTGAGACCTGGAACGATGCCACACAAACTGTACACACACACACACACACACACACACACACACACACAC